AAAAATATTGTAGGAAGGTTGACCGCCCCCCCTAACAAAAAAAATAGGCGGGGGTAATTACTATTAGGCAGCCAACATTAATTTTAATATGTTGCTTGTTTCCAACAATGAGGTGAACGGGTCCCCCACTTATGTTTGCTGGTTTATAAGGGTTTATAACCCCGTTTTTCACTAGCTCATTATATCTACCAAAGCCTTAACAAAAAGCCATAAACCACAGAATTCACCAAGTTATAGACAACACTATGATAAATCAACTATTTCAACAATAAATCATCATTTTTGTAAATAATTGTTGGTAAAACAACAATTTCCCTTGGTGAAAGCACCGCTTTTTGGGCTCCACCTTCATAAACTTCGAAGGGCCCGTCTCAAACGCCTCAGCGCCAGGAACTGTGGGTTCACTTCGAAATTGCTTGGAATTTAGTGGCTAACTCACTAATTATAGTGTTTAGTTTTTATTATAATTTAGTAACTTCTCAATTACCCACTAATTATGAAATTGAAGTGAACAAACCATTAGTATTGGTTGAAGTTATTAACTGACTGGGAACTTTAATAAATTCAGTCAATTGAAGGAATATTGAAGTTTAGTGTTTAGTGACTGACTGTTCATGGTTGACTTCATTTGGAATCTCTTGGTAAATAGAATCATGGTAAATAGTGATTGAATGGAGCTACAACCAACCATAATGGGAATCGTGTATTCACTTGATAGCAACCCCCCCAAAAAAATGCAAATAAGTTATGGCGAACAAATCATCGAACTACCATCCTGGAAACACGTTTCCATATCTGGAAGTTACCAGAACTTTGAGTTTCTTGGAGTTCATTGGAATTGATGTGAGGTCACTGGAAAACATGGACTTTGGCGTTTCAACCAATGTTTTGATGATTTTGGAAATTGATGATTCGGTCTATTGATATTACTTATGTACTTTTGAATTTACAATTGTGCACCTTTTGGGAAACATTTGGGATGAATAACAGGTATGCTGAGGATGGCAATGGATGGCAATGTTGATGCATCCCGTGATGTATTTGGAGAGTCATGTCCTGATGATGAGGTTTCCATTTCAAAACAAATCAGAGTGCTACAGCCGACCCCTGATGATGCTGTCAGCATGGGAGTTGACCAACTGACCTGCCATGTCTCACGGGCATGGGATACCGCGAAGCTGGACACGTACTTGTTTGAATCAGTGAGTGTTAATATTTCGTTCTAGAAGGACTGCTTTAGTTTTGCAAACATGGGAACATTGTAAGTTAGCATGGAACTCAGAAAGAACCATATCCAGCGGTAAAAACATCAAACTGGGACCCAAGTTTCCGGGTTCTATGTCAACTTTTGGAAGTGTCACCTGAACACATGGGATTCCTTCTAAAAACATGGTTGCTCCAACCCATTACATATAGGTTAATGACAACCACTTGCCTTGGGAAAAAATGGTGATTTTACCTTTTTATTCCGCCAATTTACTCCCTAAATTCACCAAACTTATCTGGGGTGTTCGGAGTCACACGGAAAAAACCCTTAAAAAAACTTACTTCCCACCTTCCATCAAACACGTGTTCCAAGATCCCTCATTTAGTTCGATCATGTTCCTTTTTATAGTGTAAACGTAAACATATATAATACCAGTAGTACCGCACAAGGCGGTGGCGGAAGTTTCAAAAATAGGAAACCTATAGGAGAGGTTGGTTGTTGCGAATCAGGGATGTGCACTTTTTCGACATCTGACCTCCACAAGTGGCGCGAACATGTAGTGTTTTGTACATTTTCACTTCGAAATGTGCTTCGCGCCACAACGGCGTGCACTTTTTCGACATCTCAACTTCCAAAAGTGGTCCGAAGCTGGTGTGTTTTGTACATTTTGACTTCGAAATGTGCTTCGCGCCACAACGGCGTGCGCTTTTTCGACATCGCAACTGCCAAAAGTGGTCCGGGCCTGGTGTGCGTTGTACATTTTGACTTCGAAATGTGCTTCGCGCCACAACGGCGTGCATTTTTTCATCTCTCATCTGGCCAGCTGGCTCCGCACCCGCCGCTTTAGCGAGCCTACTTTTCGACCCTCCGGATCCACAAATCATTGGAAAAACACAGTGTTTCGCGACTTTCCTACCTTTTCTCGCATCTGCATCTTCTTTCTTCTTACTCTTTCTCTTCTACTCTTCTTTCTTCTAATCTTTCTCTTCTCTCTGCCTCTTCCCTGCTCTGCTTTTTATCTGTCCATATTGTCGGAAGTTTGACTTCTAAACTTCCTTCGATAATTATATATCTATGTATATAGATATGTATGTATATATATATGTGTAAAAATATATATATATATATATAGAGATTATATCTATCTATCTATCTATCTAGCTATCTATCTGTCTGTCCGTCTATCTATCTAGCTATCTAGCTATAAATATAAATATATATATATAGTATATATAGATGATTTTTCTCCATTTCGTTCGAGGATTTCCTCGAACCTCCGTTTTTCCTTCCGGGATCGTGGCTTGAGCCGCCCGGCGTTCCGCCTCTTCCCCGCCTGGAACAGCGCGGTGTTTGTTGACTAGAAGTTACTATACATTTAGATTGGTAGAACTAAAAGTTACTATAGATTTAGATTATTTTTGATTAGCACACCTTGGTGACTGACCAGTTGAACATCAGTTCTCTGGTTCAACATATTTACTGCTGAAAACATATCTATTACATCTGTTTACCCACCATTCAACAAGGAATACCTCGAGTTCAATCAACAACCCCATCTTGCCAATTTGCTAATGCCACGCTACAAGGTAAGTCTTTAATGTGTCTTTCAAGGCAAATAGGCCAATCCATCTATCATTGGGGATTTTTCACCAACTACCCCGCGAAACGGTCCCCAAATCCCTGCCAGCATCAGAATCACTATGGATTCCACGCCGGTCTGTGATGACATGTGATGACATTTAGATATGAACCCTCCATACTTATCATGTGGTTAGGACACTTAATGGGTAGCTCCTTGGCTGCCTAATTTTTATTGAGAATGTGTGGATGGCCATGGTGAAATCTAGCTTCCTCCAGATGACCGGGTAGAATATATTAGTATATAAATTGAAGCAGTTTTCCTCTTGCCATTTCGCTGACCCCGCCAATGGCAGCTGCTTCGGATTCGCCCTTATTGACCTTATTGTGGTGATTGTTTGTTCAGAAGCTGTCAGTTTTCTACTTGAATCCCTATTTCTTGATGATAAAACTACAAGTTCTGATCATTATCTGATGAGTTTCTGATGGTTATATCCACCACTTCTTGGGTGAGTCACCAACCTGTGGTGGGTGAAATCCCGCATGGCTCCCTCCTGGCGAAATTCTCCATCTTCCAACTCCTGCGACAGCGGCATGACATGGATGTGGAAAAGCCAAGAATTTAAACTATGACATGGCTTGTCCACATCTATCTTAGTTTACAGATTGGTAAACAAAATAAATATATATAACGTAATTTCATCTTACCCTATTTCGTTTATTATTATATATGATTTTCATTGCTTTTCATCATTCTTCCAGCAAGTTATGGGGTAGTGGATATGATATGACCAGAGGTAGGGCCAGTGGGGCGGTAGAGGTAAATGATCAACAAAAACGGACATATTATTAAGCAACAAAACAACGTGCATATTCTGATTTAATATCATGCCTATATACGTATCCGTATATAATATGTCAACTCAACACAAGTCCAAAAGCGGTGGTAGCATATTCAGACTCACTTTGATGCCTATCGATGAGCCCATCGGTGCGCCGTTCATTAAAAAATGATGGCCACACATAAATCCAATTACCCTCTGGTAAACTAACATAGCTCTTGAAAAATGAAAATTTATAGTTGATTTTCCCCTTAAAATTTGTGATTTTCCATAGTTATGTTAGTTTACCAGAGGGTAAATACAATTAAAACAAGGAAAAACAACATGAAACAAACCAACTCACCAATGACCAGTCAGTTTCCTCGTTTTTTTCACATTTGCACTTCGCTAGTTTAAACCACGCCCCTAAATCTCACGCGGAACGCAAGAAATGGCCATATCCAGTGGTAAAAACATCCACAATAAATGAACATTTAGGGGAAAAACCCGAATCCCCTGGTTTATCATCATTGTTCCTCTCAGTGAGGTGATACCTCTCTCTACCCCATTTTGAAACAACAGCATTCTTCAGGTTCCACGTTAAACATTGGGGGGGTGTAGAATGTAGGAGCTCTCTTTGAGAGGTTAATTCTCATGCAGCATAATTCACACAGCCCGGCAGCGACATACATCAGTTGGTGTCATCAAGCATGGCTGGCTGGGAAAAAATGTGGGGAAAACTAACATAACTATGCAAAATGGGAAAATTGCAAATTTCCATGAATCGGTTCTTCTCCACAGCAAACTGTTACATTACCAGGGTGCACATTACTCAGTACTCACTTGATGAGCTGCGTTGCAGGAGCTGCGCCAATCTGCCGAAGCTCAAATGGGTTCAGCAGGCCTAGAGCATGGTGAAACATCGGGGCCGAGGGCTCTGTGTACCCCCGCAGGGGGGTGAAATGTCCCATGTCAACATCGCACAGCCATTGGAGGTGATGGACGTGGAGATGAATTGATGAACATGGGACATTTAAAAAACAATCACCCTTGAAACCGAAGATGGAACCCAAATAAGTTGTGTTTTTCCGGCAGTAGAAGATAATCCTTCAAGATCGTTCAACCGTTTTTTTTCCGCATCAATGACTATAAATCTTTGAAACTGACACAACAAGGCAATTTTGGCATAGTTACCGTAGTACGTATCATTCCAGTGACGTCGCAATGAGGTCGTCATTTGTTTCATTCAATTCGGGCAAGTGATCCCCATTATATCCCCAGTATACCACAATGTTTGTTGGTCAAAACACCATGTTTGCCGATGGAAGCACCCAATTCTTGATGATCAAATCATCATTTGGAGTTCCATGTTTTCAGGGTGGTCATTCTGCCAGTCATTCGTCAAAGGCTGAGACCAAGGTCATGTTTGCCTGCGATTTTCTCGGAGGAGAGGGGGGGTCAGGCTCAGGGGGCGGCGAGGGGGGTACCCGAAATTATGATTTCACGGGACTTAATGGCGATTGAATGGGATTGATGGGATTTTGTGAGATGCTCATGGGGATATGATAGTTAGTGAGAGATAAGTAAAGAACACACTTGATATTTTGGCATCTTACCGAACATGGGGAATTCCCAAACCCAATCTGACCCTGCTAAAAATAAGTGGTTGCCGGTTTTCCAATGTATATCCCAGTTGGACAGTTTCAGCGGGGTCTGAGCCCCCCAAAAAAGCTAGCTCCAGGAAAAAGTTTTGGGGGGATCTAACCCTCTAAGCACATCTGAATGGAGACAAACTAGTAAGTAGGGGGGTTCATGTTAGCATTCGGATTTCAGGATTCACCCTTCATGATATGGTGCCCCCAAACACGCTCGTGCATAGATTAGGTTGCACCATTGATCTTGGATAAATCCAGCCATCCTCCTTGATAAAATTCAAGGGCCTGATCGCATTTTGAGCTGTCTGGCTTTTGTATTTATCTAACTTGCAAGGGGCTACAGCCATGACCACCATTCGGGGATAATTTATAGCAAAAGACTGAAGTACTAAAGATACCCATCCCAGGTTTCAGTTTTCAGGGCAGGCTTTCACACACAGGCTGATGAATGATTTTCATGGAGTTCGTTCCAATCGCTCTGTTTGGTTGGACAATTGAGTCATGAAAAATAACGTATTTGATTTAGAGGTGTTCCTACTGTGGGTCATCACAACAACTAACCAGGGTAGCCCTGCGTCGCCCGTGAAAACGGATGGTTTTGTGCAAAAGTCGGGGCCTAGCACCAAAATGGCAAACATCACAGAGAAAATGATAATCAACCGCGAATATTAAGCTTTTCGCTTTTCCCCTTGGTTTCACCTTGTTTTTTCTCTCCGTCAGGCTCAAGGTCGACCATTGTTTCAGCGATCAAACGTCGGAAATTGTCGGATCATAATATTGTGGATCCCAATCAAGTCCTTCTTTATATCATCACTTCTAAGACCCAATTCATATGGAGGTTTCCTAAAATGGGGGGTACCCAACATCATCCAAGTCATTAGACCATGACTTAGTATTGAAACCCATGGTGACTCGCGGATCACCAAACATCAGGTGAGGCTCCCCTCCCTGAATCTGATTCGCCATCGCCGGTGTTAGCCGGACGATGGCTGGAAATTTTCCAGCACTACCCTCTGGTTATTTAACATAGCCATGGAAAATGGCGCATTTATAGATGTTTTTGAATGATTTACCTATAAAAAATGGTGATTCTCCATAGCTACGTTAAATAACCAGAGGGTAAATGGAAAGGTTTTTCATAAGAAAATCATCGAAATAAATGGATCCAAATATTTCCTGAGGTACTAGGCCCAAATCCTGCGCCAAAGGGCACGGCTGGATCCAATAGTCATCATAATTCCTGAACCCTCTGGCCCTCACCATTTCAGGCGAGGTCAGCCAGCTAGTTCGGATCTATCACATTTTCACAGTTCCAAGTTGCTCAAGCCTCACTTTTTGTGTTTTTTTCGTTCTATCACAGATGGTTTCCATCTGATTTCCAACTGTTGTGGAAGATCACCATTTCCAATAGGTAATTTTGGCAAGTCAAACTAAATTGCCCTTTTCAATAACAAACTGTGAGATTTTCCGGAGGTAAATTTCCCATATCCCACGAAATGATTGGTTAATCATGGTTAAACCATAATCTAAGATAACCAGAATTATTGTACAACCAGGGATAACACCATTGTATAACTATGGCTGGTGTGATTGGTCAACTCTCACCATTACTTATCTAAGTTGGTTTACAGCGGCCAAGCCTCCATCCGACGCTCCGGCCGACCTGGGTTCAGGTCAAATGTCTTCGGAAAAAAAAAGACACACATTTTCACCGCTGGAGATGAGGGTATCTATTGGGAGAAAACACATGAAATCATGCTGACACACCTGAGGACTTAGAAAAATGGAGAAAACATGCTGAGATATAGCTAGCATGCTTTGGAGTAGCATGAGATTTGCCAAAAAAATGATGTAAAACCCACTATTCAACACCCAAAAATGAAGTTAACATGCCAGGCCAAATCGCTATCCCGTTTTTAGGACGGAAACAAATCGTTGAAGAACACAAATCTATCAGTCGCATGATTATTTTTCAATTGAAAGTAGGATTGTAGACGAATCTGACTATGATAGCTGATGTTCCTCTATTGAAATCGGTGTTGAACCAAACCAACAAAATCAATCATATAACATCTGTACAATTTTCCTTTTTGAAAGGCCTGGGCAAACAACTTGTGCTCACAAATCTAAAATGGCCGCCTAGTTCTTGCATGACTCACCCTTACCAACAAATGTTTATAGTGCGGTTATGTGCGGTTGTTTCCTGGTGACAAAATTGTGTGCGTGTGAACCATCTGAATAGATGTAAAACTTCTACCATGTTTCTGCAGGGGGGCAGTGCACGACTGACAGACACTGCCCAACGAAGACACTGTCAGTTCGTGGTGACACAGAGCCTGATCAGCTCTGCGTACCTGCATCAATTTATCATTTCTCTGAATGGCAACCGGCTAAGCCAAGAACCGGCATGTCGTTTTTCAACATTTTCAACATTTTCAAACAAACCTTCAACTTGATGTCAGTACGGTTTCCGCAATCTGTCAGGGAAGTCCATTTGCTTCCAACCAGGGCTATGGAGAAGTTCCGTTTTGACTCTTACTCGAGTCTACTCTCCAACTCAATCCTGTCAGGTTTAACTGGAGTGTTTGTGCACGTGCGATGCATTCAACATCAGTAATTCGATAAGATATTTCTGAACAAGTGTGTCATTCCTGCTGCGTACGTCAAGTTGGCAGGAACCCTTCGGGGAAAGCCTTTCTAGGCTAACAATTGACAGTAAAATGATGTCTGAATTTACACTTTTGAATTAGTAATTCGTCTAAGTAACGTGAATTGCCGGCCTTTTTTCCTGGTCTCACTTGTCGATGCCGATTGGTTGAACAACTGGCCGCAGTACCGGGCTTCCTTCTCCTTTTTGCTGATTTGCATAGTTGGAAGCCACGACAACAACCTTCCTGTTGCTTCAAGAGACTGCCCGCAGCCATTTTGACATGAACAGGCAACAGGACATGCTTTACAGGTGTGGTCACTTCCTTTTGGTTACTTTGGTGAGGTTCAATTGTGCACTTAATTCACTTGAATACTGACAGCCGTCGATGGGGTTGAATTGAATACCGAGGGCCTTTGAGCCTTATCACGAATCTTGCATGGATTGTGGATGCATCTTTTCATTAACTAGTTCCCCATGGGTCCCTTATTTCATGTGTTCCTGCGTTCTCATCTCTCCAAGTAGGTTGGGTTCTGCGCGTGCTGGGGTAGGCGTAGGTTTTGCTGTGGTAGGTTGGTTCAGGCGCGTCCGTCCTCCCCCCCCTCCGCTGGTCCTTTTCCGTTTCCGTCTGCCTCCGCTTTTCTTTTTCCTTGCCTTTTCAGGGTTTGCCCGTGTTGGGCCAGGTTTCCTTGTGTTGGTGTTTTTCTCTTTCCCTCTGCGTTGCGTTCCCCTCTTCGCGTCCTGGTTAAGTAACTTTCATCTCATTTTCATCTTCACCTCATATTCATTTCCCTTCAATTTCATTTTCATTTCACTGTCCGGACCTTAATTTTTCACCCTCCTGCGGGAGGGTGTGTGTGTGTGAACCATCTGAATAGATGTAAAACTTCTACCATGTTTCTGCAGGGGGGCAGTGCACGACTGACAGACACTGCCCAACGAAGACACTGTCAGTTCGTGGTGACACAGAGCCTGATCAGCTCTGCGTACCTGCATCAATTTATCATTTCTCTGAATGGCAACCGGCTAAGCCAAGAACCGGCATGTCGTTTTTCAACATTTTCAACATTTTCAAACAAACCTTCAACTTGATGTCAGTACGGTTTCCGCAATCTGTCAGGGAAGTCCATTTGCTTCCAACCAGGGCTATGGAGAAGTTCCGTTTTGACTCTTACTCGAGTCTACTCTCTAACTCAATCCTGTCAGGTTTAACTGGAGTGTTTGTGCACGTGCGATGCATTCCACATCAGTAATTCGATAAGATATTTCTGAGCAAGTGTGTGTGTGTGTGTGTGTCGCAGAGCCCCTTGTTAGAAATCTGAGGTTGCCCCAGCAAAAGGCACTTCCTCAAACATTTCGCCCATGCTTGCTGGTTTGAAACCCATCAGCAACCAGTTGAGCCATTCAATAATACCCCTATCCCATCTCATCGTACTAGTTGGTTGATAAGATTCCACAATATGGGATCCATTTTTATATATATATAAGCACACAATAACCTAGCAATATCAAACTTGCCAAGAACCAATCAACCAAGGTAATTAACACAGCTATGCCAGACATACTGTAGCACATAAAAACAAATGATAAGAATGATGATTTACCGATTGCCCATTATACAAGTACTTCTTCCCCATCTGCGAGGTGAGGGTCCCTAGATTTTAACAAAGTACAACTCCGGCTCCTCCTCTCCTCGTTCTCCTTCTTCGTCCTCGTCTGCCTTCTCCGCCGAGCCATGTGGCAATCTAGGGATGCAGTGGGCCACGCCTGGACCTGAACACCATATCGCCAGCTCCGGCTGCTGTGGGCCACGCCTGGACCCGAACACGTGTCAAAGAGAATGCCAAACAGAAATGCCAGATACAATCTCAGAACATATGTCAAATATAATGCCAGAAAGAATGTCAGAATGCATGCCAAATAGAATATCGAAACAATATGTCAGGGTGGGGATCACTCGAAGTAAAATATGATCCATTTAAAATAGATCATAATCACCAATCAGCAGTGGTAAATTTACCCATGTATAATAATCTATGATGATTTCCCCATCTAAAGTCACCGTTTTCCATGTTTAATGGTTCAGATATTGACATCCTTATATGTTGATGATCGTTGATGATTGTTGATGGTTTTGAACCCCTATAAAACGAGTATAACCACCAATAAACAATACGTAGCTATTGATCAACATTATAAATCATTGCAAGTTGGGTATTATTTACCTATGAAAAAGCCCAAATCAACAGTACCCTATAATGGTTCAGTTATTTTTCCATCAATAGTGTTTTTCCATTTTGACATAACCAAAGAATATATTTATATATATATAGAATATATACATCCTTGACCAATCAACAGTACGGTATTCTTATGGTAATGGATCAGATATTGACATCCATGCCATGGCACCGTCAGGGTCTAAGCTGAAGCTTTTGGTGATCCCATTGCCGCAGGGCCCGCAGGACCCGCAGGACGGTACCTCGACATCGGGGAGTAAGGGAAATGAGGTGGGTTCACCAAGGGAAATGGTGGTTTCACCGACGTAACTTTAAGGTTTATAGTGGAAATAGAAATAGCTGATTTAATGCTGATTTATGAAAGCTAAATGAATTCACTTGGTTCACTCGGATTTATGGAAATATAACTATAGCTATGGGGTTTATAATTAAGGATAATGGGGTAAACCCATCAACCATCCGGAAGCGGGGTTTATTAGGATAAAGCCCGATGGAATGGTTCAAGTGATTCCCAAATGGCTGGTTCTGGGATGGTTTACAATTTGGGTTCACCGCATTATAATTGATTGGGGATACAATTTATAGAAATTGTTAATATAATGATATAGTAAATGAGTTAAACATATATGGGATATTGGAAAAAAAGTAATGATAGAATTGCGCCAAACGAGTTCATTCGGAAATGCACTATTCTGTATGCCCTACGATAAGTATTTTTTAATAATATCAATTCGCAAACTATCTACAAAAAAACTCTCTGGTAATTTAACATAGCTATTGAAAGCCACCATTGTTAATAGGGAAATCATCTATAAATTGGCCATGTTCAATAGCTCTGTCAACTTACCAAAGGGTAATGTAATGAGGGTGCAACCCCTTTTAAACCAAAACAACATGTGCAAATACACACTCTTTTTTCGGAATCCGGATAAGCCAACTGGTCCAAGTGGCGGATATGTTTTTGTCGAAATGGAGATTTAATGGTAAGGATATTACCTGCAATAAGGATTTACCTGGAAAATAGTGCCTGGAAATTTGAATGGTGAGGGTATTACCTTATCAAACCTTAATAATGCCTTTTTTTGGTTTGATAATGATATTACGTGGAAAATAGAAGAAAATCAATGGATTTACCTGCAATGAATTTGGTGAATGCTGCCATTGAAATATTTGAGACCGCTGGCGTGTGCTTGCATGCAGCCCCTTGAATGAAATCATATGAAATGCGTAAAAATGGTGCTTTGCTGATGCACCCATGCGTAGGGGGTAGTGGAAGTGCAGTGCGTACATATAGGCACAAACCCTAATCCCCCTCCGAAGACACCTTCACAGTTTGCCCATTCTCTAGAGTACACGGAGGACATTAAAAGGAACTCATGGACTAGAATCAAGAAGGGCACAAGGATATTAAAATAAACAGTGGCACAGCTTTTGCATTTTGTGCTAAGCTTTAACAGTTTCAAACAATTGAAAAGCATGTGCTGCTGCAAGTCATCGCAGCCAGGTTCAACACAGTAATGAACCAATTTTGGGACAAACACATAGTATAGTGTTGGTTAAATCAAATTATATCCCATGAAATTGGCTACCCCATCAAATCCATATCCCATTGGTTACCCAATGCACATGCTTTGCTTACCAAATTATATCACCGTTCTATCCCTGTGGTACCTTCCAAATTGGTGTCTGAAAATTGGGCACCCCCAAATGCGATGCAAACCATAATTTTCCTGATTGAAAAGGTAGTCTTGGGATATTACTTATCTAAGTTCAAGATAGGTGCTTGATATCCAGCTATAAGATAGGTACGCTACGCTTGGTGCGCTTGGTGCGCTTGGTACGGTACGCTTGGTGCGCTTGGTACGCTTTGGGTAGGTACGCTTGGTACGCTTACCAACCGTACCGACCTTACCAACCGTACCAGTGAACCGTACCACCGTACCGTACCAGATTAAGGGGGGGGTCAAGGGGGGGGCGTTTGGTGTACCAATTAAAGTAGTATTGGTACATCCAAAACGCCCCCCCTTGACCCCCCCCCTTAATCTGGTACGGTACGGTGGTGGTACGGTTCACTGGTACGGTTGGTAAGGTCGGTACGGTTGGTAAGCGTACCAAACGTACCTTACTAAGCGTACCAACCGTACCAACCGTACCGTACCACATGTACCAACCGTACCGTACCAAGAAAACCAAACCTACCAGCCGTACGTACCAGACATGTTTGGATCTTACTTAAGGCCTCTACCACCTATCTTGAACCTAGCTAAGAGATTACTACGGTATTACCCCATTTTCAGGCAACCACTTTTTTCAGACCATAATTTTAAGCGGGGCAAACCCCATTTTCAAACACCTGGGGGTATGATGAAGATATGCTTGGCGGCTCATCCCGGTCAGTAAATTAAATCACTGTAACCCCTTTTAAAGGAGGATTAATCATTTTGTTCCACTTATCACTGAGGTAAACGAATCCAGTGACGATTCCTCGAAACACCAAGAACCCTCTCATACTCAAACGTGGCAAGGGACAATGCACCTGGTTTAGAGCTATAGACCTCCATTTATAGGAGATTTTCCAGCCAGCCACTTGGCTTAGTACCAAAGGGTAAGGGTTCAATACCATCATTGCATCCCAATGTCTCCCCCTTCTACCACCATGTTTGTCAGTTAAGTCGCCATTTTGGATGGCTAGACCCACCATGGAATCACATTAAGTCCCGCAAAGCATGACCAACCCATGGCCGCGCCAAGGCTCTCTTTGGGCCGCGATGACATCGATGGCTTCCGGAGCCGCGTTGATGGGCGAGGGGATGGCGCCAGGTGCTATGATCTCCTCATGGCGAATTTTGTTTTTGTTGGGGGATGGGGAAGACCATGGAAACTGCTATAAGTGAAATACTGCTACTTTCTGAGGTGATTCATGATTCATACTACTAGTGATACGTGTATATATATATATATACAAATGTGTGTGTGTGCTTTTATTCGTTGGATTGGCTTAAAAGAACATTTGGAGGCACGCAATTGGTTTACATAGTTTAAAAAGAACTACTACCCCAGTGTTGGTTGGTGAGCCATCCCCACTGCCCGGATGATGGGTAAAAAATGCTATATAAATGGTTGCACTTGTAGCGGGGCATAGTGTGTAGTAGTACATCTCGAAAATACTTGACGAGATGTAAGTTACAATCATTCCGTAGGCTTTTACATGTCCATCTGTTCGTGGTTCCTTAATGACTTTCTTCTTACTGGCACTGTAACTGCAAGCAAATGATATCACTGGAAAACAAATCATAATTAGTATAAACATACTACTTGTAACACTAGTAGAATACGACAAAAGAGATGATAAAACTATATATATATGTATATATATATATATAAGCCATAGCAGCCGCCACCCATGCCACAGTTGTTTGCCAACCAGCTTACTCAGCATTCATGTTTTTCCAGCCTTCACCAGAAACCAAACATATACTCATCACCTGCTTATAAACCAACTTTGACGCTCAAATATAAAAACATATGTTGCCAAGTCATATTTCGCCCATATGTCGCTTGGAAGGTTGCAAAATACAAATATGCTTCTATAATGTTTTTTCAACAAAAAAACAAATCTAAAATCATATTGCATGAGATTTCCAAAACAAAATCTATAACAATCTATAAATCTTCCGCCCCCCACTTCCCCCCTCCAATCGGCAAGTCTCGGCCGTTCCGAACGGCACATGCAAGCCCTGCGGCACCGGACGGCTCGGGTGGCCGAAACGGCTCCGCAAGGCCTCCACGGGAGTCTCGCAACGGCCTCCGTCCAGACTGATGGGTGTAATGCCTTGGCTCGGAGATGGTGGCTTTGAGACAGAGATGGCTTATGGAATTTATATATATTGATTAAAAGTTGATCATAATCACCAAAGGTAATGGTCTTATGCTAGTTGAATCTGGTTTCCCATGCTTCTATAGGGATAATAACGGGATGGTAATCAATGATGGCTGGCCCGGAAATCCTGGAACTAACAGGGGGTATATAGCTGGAAAGAAAAAACATCTACATGGGGGATCTTCAATTGCCCTTTTTGATTACAAGATTGTAAATTTAGGACATTTCTATATCTATCGAATACGCCAAATATGATATATATATATATACACATATATACACGAGCCATTTATTGGGATCTAAGATGATCTTTCTGCAACATTTCTGTGACCTGTTCTTGATTTATGAATCTTGATTATCTGGCTGATAGTGATTGATCACTATACTGTTTCTATCATTGCTTTCACTTCTTTCAGAAGTCAGATAGAACCATTTCTTCCCAAGATAGGATACTATGGTGTTTTCCCCTGGGAACGCGTTTTACTATAGACTATCGACTATTGTGTTCCCATGTCTTTCTTATTTCGGGGTTTCCTAAAATAGGGCTACCCTTAAACCATCCATTTTAAACATTTTGGATTTTCCATCAACAAAAACCATCCAGCTCTTGGGGTACCCCCATGGCTCAGGAACCAAGGCACAATCATCCCCAGGCAGCTCATATGTTGTCTCGGCATGGCTGATGTCGCGATGGATCTCGAAGACTTGGGACACTTCCGGCCTGGCGGAATTGCAGAGCATAACCAGCAACATTTATGGCATTTTCTGTGGAACATAAAAAAAGGAAACATATGGGAAACCGTATGGAAAATGAGTGATTTAGCCATGAACACAAGTATAACCAGTTTGAATGGTGGTTTAACCATGTTTAACCAACAAAAATGGTGGTCCAATGGGGATACAAAATCGGGATATCATCAGCATAACTACAGCACTGGAGACATGGAGATCCTGCAGCCCAGCCACTGCGCCATCCGATTGCCACTGCCATGTTTGAAAGTTAAATCATCCAACATAACATAAATCATGATGTCTTCATGGGAAAACCATGGGAAACCATAGGCAAATGGAGGTTATACCCTCTGGTAAAACTAATATAATTATAGAAAATCACAATTTTTGATGGCTAAATCAACTATAAATGACAATTTTCCATAGCTATGTGTGATTACCGAGGGGTATCTAGGTATTGATATGTGTTAAAAAATGAACACATCGATAAAACATGTCGATACACAGGGTACGGTGTATTTTCATAGATGTGTTTACTCATTTAAAAATGAAACGAAAGTTGATGTGATTCGCTCAATTGCATATAACTATGGCTTCTAGGCCTAATCTAAGCATTTAGACACACAGATCTATATAATATACGCATCCAATATGCTCCATGAAATATCTAACACCCATAAAATTTACCCAAATGTCGGTAACTGTTCCATACTCGGAACATATGGGTACATCAAAAAGTCAAAGTTATAGCCATCTTTAACATAACAATATACAAGTTTTACAAGACAATATGGATATGTTTCTATAGGTAGAGACCAGGGATGTTTTATAAACCAGGTGTAATCTATAAACAATCACTGCTCTGAGCACATAAAAAGAAATTATCGATAATTCTGGGGCACCACCCATTGTGGGCCATCATTCTTTGATCTCCAGGTTGTACACCATCACCATAACCCATACAGCACTAGTAAGTTACAAATACATATAAACACTGCATGTATGTATGTATGCATGTATGTATGTATCTATGTATGTATGTATGCATGCATGCATGCATGTATGTATGTGTATACAGCGCTCCCCCAAAAATAAAACATAAAATCCCACAACAATACTAGGGCAAAATATGTGTTACTCTCTTCTTGGCGACTCTACTGTGATATAGTTGCTGTTGTTTCGCTGAAACGAAACATCTTCACCACAACTATCAATATATGAAACTTACCTATATACATGATCCTACATCTATATTCAATACATGAAACTTACCTAGATTTACCACTGGTATATGAGGAAAAATAGGTAAATTTCATATATTGAAAACAATTTTACAAATATTAATCAAATATTCATATGGTATTGATATTTGACTAAGCGGGTCACTGTCACGGGCGGTCGTTTGAGACAAACAACTTACGCATCACCTCAAGGGGTCGTTTTTTTTGGGCTTAGCGGGAAACGATCAAAAATATCCAACGGCTAGTAATGGTATGTGGGTTTGATAATCCACCATAATGTATGTATGTATATTGGATGGTTAACCCATAATTGAATCTAATGGTAATATCCAACGAGGGTTAACCCACCATAATGTTTATCTCGTTTAACTCAAGCCGGGCTTGTGGGTTACGATAATCCCTATAGTTACGTGGGTTTGATAATCCAAAATATAGAAAGCATAAAGCCAGAACCCCTTTTATAACCGATCAAACAGGGTTTGGTCACTGCCCCTAAGGGTTTGACAGAAAATCTCTGAACCAACTGGTTAATCATCACAATTGTCCCCATGGAATTGCCAGTTGGGTGGTATACTAGCCCATTTACAAACACATCCATAGTATGATTTCAAGGAACATTCAAACTTGACTGAAAAAATGCTAACGCATATTATAGCACAGTGCACCCTGGATCACCAGCCTGTCATCTTTTCTCCAGGGCCGCCACCATGAGCTCTTGCCTTTCCTGCAGCCGAGCAGCCGTCAGATGCTTGGTCTTGGAATGATCTACAGCAATCAAGCGGGAGATTAAAAAAAAAACATGTAAATGTAGGGTAGCCGTTAATGCATGTTAATCCCTAACAATCACTTCATTATATCATTATATGAAGATGTATTTATACACATGGTCCACCAAATTACGAATACACCAAAATGGTACCCATCATCCAACTAAGTAACTAACTAAGTAACTAACTAACTAACTAACAAACAAACAAACAATCAAACAATCAAACAAACAAACAAACAAACAAACAAACAAACAACAAGAAAACAAGGACAACAACAACCACACCACCACCACCACCAACAACAACAACAACAACAACAACAGTCATAGAGTTATAGATGGCATTTGGGTGTATAATACTACACCAATGTCTTTCCACACAATGTTGTGTCGGGATGTCATCAGCGTTGGAGGGCGATGGCCAAAAGTTCTTGAGCCTCATGACATGGGAACCGATATTTGATATCCCAAAGTCACAAGAGTACCAATCGGTCCACTGGGGACTGTCCCCAATGTTTGGAGGGGAAACAAACTTATCTCAAAGCCGATTGTTGGTGCCTGTGCTTGTACCCCTCTTCCGCCGTGGTTGAATCCTAATTTTTGGTTTTGCTGGCTCAACTTCCGCTTAGAGCTCCTTGTGATGGCAATTGAATTCCAGCTTCACCTCCCCTTTCAAACAATGACGACTCAAATCCCCATATACAAAAAAAAAACCTGCTTCAGAACCCCTGCTTGGTTTACTTAGGATCCTATATGCTCTTGTCTTTCTGGGAAAATGGCCAATCATCAGGAAGGGATATCTTCTTGGTTTTTAAATTTTGACTGGTGATTTGGGGCACCCATTGGACCGACTCTCCAAATTGTGATTATGGAAGCACACCTTTTCCAGAAACTTTTGTGAAGCAATCCTCCCAATATCACCCCTTTAGGGTTTCATCCCCAACGATACCAATGATTTGGTGATGCTGGGGTAGCAACCAGTGGTTCGCTTCACGACCTGGTGTATTCCCATGAAATATCCATCAACAAGTGATGAAACAAAGACCATACGTACCTTACAGGAAGGCACCCCCAGTTGCAAGTTGATTTAGCCAGTCAGACTATGTAATTTTTTGTAACGACTATATATTATTGTCTCGTTGAGAGCAGGTCAGAGGCTGCTCTCTGGGGTTGCACTTCTCGATTTGTGCCCCTCTTCAAATTCCAATCTCCTCACCAACACCGCCCGTTAACGCACCTCGTCTTTTTGATACGAAAAACGGCTGCATGCAAGCAGTCAAAGATCACAGCTGAAATTGCACATGGAGTGATGTGTTCCAAAATGATGAACACTCCCCCGAGTTGGCGACGCACGTCACCCAACTCACTTCGTTCATAAGTATTGGCTATGGGAATTTCCGTCCACAGCACAAAATTGATTTCGCATTTCGAAAGGGATGTGCAAAAAACCTAAAAACGGTTTCCCTCTCACTTTCTGACTCAAGCCGTTCTTTTCTCTTCGCTCTTCCTTTTCTTTCTGGCTCACCCTGTCTCGATGAGAGCAGGTTAGAAATCACTCTTAACACCTCTGACACTTTGAATACCTCTTCGAATTTGATGAAAGCAGTGGACAGTTGGGATCATAGTGTGCTACTCCCCCTGGGCCCACTGAGAGTATTGGCAAGGATTCATCCCGGTTGGCCTCTGAACATGATTGGCACCATTGGCTTGGAATGAGACTTCTAGAGTTGGCAAGAGTAGGGCAAGTGGTATCTTGATGCCACTTGGTTCCCCATGGAGTGATAAATGCTGGCCTTCTACCAGAACCTCTGCTCGTTCTGTCGGTTCTGGCTGTCCCTGTGTTGGTCACATTGATCTGAGAAACCACTGGTGTGTTCGCCGTCCTTGGCATACTCACAGCAGCTACCGAGCTACTGTTCATCGCACTCTGACTAGATGTCGAAGAAACTGCTATTGGCACTGATGGTGCTGGATACTTCGGCACAGAAAGACTCATTGGTGGCGGAGCAGCCTGAGATGCAGGCTTAGGTAACGGAGCCTGCTGCATCTGAGAAACAGACCTTGGTTGCGGAGCCTGCTCCTTCTGGTGAGCAGACTTTGGTTGCGGAGCCTGATCCAAAGGTGGCAATGCCTTTGGACGACTCAGTCCACTTCCACTCGGCTTCTCTTCTTTTCTTTCATATTCAACGTGCTTTCCTTTCTGACCTCCTTCTTCTTTGATCCTTCTCTGCCGCTGTCTCCAAAACTGCTTGACAACCCTTGTCAGAGCTTGGAAAATCTGCACCACTCCTACAAAAGCTAGGACGACCAAAATCAGAATCTCCCATCCGCTGTCTCTTTCTCGTTGTTCTTCTTCTTCTTGTGCATATGCATGATGCGCACATCCCAAGGCCACAATCACCCTGAGAATTTTCTCAACATCTTCTCTTTTTGGTCCTTCTTTGATATCTCTTTCCTGTACGTCTTGGCTGATGTCCTCCTCCTTTTCTTCACTTTCTTCTTTTGTTCTTTCATAGCTTCCCATTTTCATCATCTTTTTCAGCTCCTCCAATCTTGGCGCTGGAAGAGATTTGGTGCCTACATCAGCGATTTGATGTTGTCCTGGCACAGCCTCAACCATCCAGTCCATTCTTCCAAATCGCCATCGGACATGTGATGCTTTGAGACGCAAGTGCCTCGTTCTCCAACTTCCAGAAGCTTCTGTAAGAAGGTTGATCGCGGCAGTGTTGTCTACCTTGATGATCTTTGGGTATCCTTCTTCGAAGATCTCTTGGACGAGAACGTCCACGCTGTCTCCCATCACCATTCCTTCTACCGCTTCTGAAAGTTCGCTCTCCGCCGTAGAGAGAGATGGGATGGACTGTCTTCCAGACTTCCACAGCAGTGAGCTTCCATTCCAGAGGACCAGCACTGTGCCCTGAGAGTCTGCTCCCCCAGGAACATAGGACGAGTCCGTATAGACCTCCAAAACGTTTCTTTCTCTTCTTCTTATCCACAAACCTTCATCTTGTGTCTTCCTCAGATACTTCCAGACCTGCTTGGAAACTCCGACGACTTCTTTTGGATTTCGCAAGATGGCCTGAGACAGCTTGCTGAGGCAAAACATCAAGTCAGGACGCGTTCTGGTGAGGAGCCACATCAACTCTCCCACCGCACGCTGAGCTAATTTGACTTGATCTGCATCTTTCTGTGGATCATCCTCCTCCAGGCGCAAAACTTGATCTCGTGTGATTGGGACTCCAGAGAGAAGTCCATGCTCTTCTCCATTTCTTTTCAGCAGCTCCTTCAAGTAGCTGCCTTGATGCAAAAAAACTCCTTCTTCTGTAAGCCAAATGTCCATGCCCAAAAACTTGACTCCTCGATCTTTTCCTAGCCACTCCGGCTTGCTTATCTCCCATTCTTCTGAAATCCTTTTGATGCACTTCTGGATCAAAGGCTCTGGCCCCATGATCAACAGATCATCCACGTAGACCAAAATCAGGCCCTTGGTGACCTCTTCTCAGCCTTCTTTCAGTTGGATCATCTTCCAGATGTTTGGATCACCAACTATGGGTTCTAGGGCGATGGTGCCTTCTTGACCTTCCCAACTCATGCCGCCCATCTTGGTGTCGCGATGTGCGCCCCATAGTTTTGGTGATTGACGAAGCCCATAAATGGCTCTCACCGCCACCCAGAACTCGTCCGGCTGGACATACTTCAGCTTGACCAGCAGCCTTGGTGGTTGTAAGATCACCACGACTTCGTCATCTGCGCCCTCACCTGGGAGCATAGCATTAAGAAATGCCGTTTTGATGTCCAACGTAGCGGCAAGCCAGTCAGCTTGCACGGCCTTGCTGAGACATGCCCTGAGTGCTGTGGCGTCTCCACCTCCTGCATAGAGGCTGTCCTCTTCTTGTCCCTTTTCTATATAGTTTCCACAGGCAACGATCCTCACTTTTCTTCTTCCCCCTGCTTTTCTGGTTATCACCAGCTTGCTGGGGACAACTATCAAAGTTGGGCATCGCTGCTGCAGCTCTTCTTTCTTTTGGCGACTAATGCTCCTCAAGGCACCCTTTTCTTCTATGAGTGCGTGCATTTCTGCCTTAATCGCCTCGTCCCAGAGCTCGACATCTCGTTCCAACTCTTGGGGACTGATGATCTTGGTCTGAAGGATCTCGCTTCCTTCCTCCTCTGCTTTGCGAAGGGACTTCTTCCAAGGTTCCAGTCTTTGAAACGCCAGCATGGCATTCTCGAGGCACTCCTCCTCAACTGCTTTGGCTTCTTCCTTCAGCATAGATCTCAACCTCAACAGACCTTCACCATCACCTCGGTGGAGAGGCCTTTTTCCTCTCACTCTTCTCCTTTCTTGAACTTCATCTCTTTCTGCCTCCTCCATCAAAGCCAGCCACATCTCTTCGGTGGGTGGTGGCGGACTTTGGACGTTCTTGATGACGTATGGGGCAACTCCCCATCTTCCATCTTGACGGAGAATGCAGTGACCATGTGCCTCGATCATTGGCGCAAGGTATCTGCTGCTCTCGTGAGTAGCTTCCAACGCCTTGGTTCTCCATATCCTCTTCTTTACCAGCACTTTCTCTCCAAATGCTGGAATTTTCATGTCTTCATGCTTTCTCCTCAATCTGCTAGTCTCCATGAGATACCTGAGAGCCATCGGCCACCATGATTTGTCCATCTCGGAACCATGCAGCAGTCGCTTTGTCATTCTCTTGATCTCCTGAACAGCTCTTTCCACTCTTCCGTTTGCCTGTGGATCTTCTCCTCCATTTGTTGTATGCATGATACACCTGCTTCGAGTCCACTGCTTGAAGCGGGAATTCATGAACTCTCTTCCACGATCAGTGTGGATGCCTTGAACAGGAAATCCATCAGCTCTGAGCTGCAAGTAAAGATCCATGGCCCCGCTGAGTACATCTTCTTTTCCTTTTCCTTTCAAGGGAATGGCTACCCGAAGAACCTCGATCTTCGGAACAGGTGGAGCCTCTTCTCTAGGCCTGCCCCCGTCATCCTCTTCTTGTCTTGGGGCTTGATCTTCTTCTTCATCCTCTCTTCGAGGTTGTTCTTCTTCTCTCTCTTGAATCTCTTCTCGTTCATCTTCTACGTCTTCTATCTCTGGCCACTGTTCTTCTTCTCCTTCAGCAACCTCAATCGGGGGATGCTCCTCCACTTCCTCCTCCGGGTTGTCATCAGGCGGTCTCAACCATGTGCATGTTCCGATGAGCATAAACTTGGACTCGCCTTCCACGTCGTGTCCCTTGATGAAGGGACCACAAGTGTCCAGGTTGAGGATTCCAGCTCGTGGATGGCTGACTTTTGAATGCATTCTCCCCCTCGCTGAAGCTTCCTGACAAACCTGGCAGTCTCTTCTGAAAGGTGTATGTCCTCTCTGTATGTGCTCCTCCTAGCTCATCTTCGCATAACGCACTTTCTTCGCCATGACTGCCTGTTGAAGACTCTCTGCAACTTGCCTCATAAGACCTGGGACCCATCTGGCCAAGTCCTGAGACGAGGCAACAGGCTTCACTTCCTCCTCTTGAATCTCTTCATGCAGTTGTGGGACACACAGGCGAAGATCTCCTCCAAAAGTGGTCGGTTTGACTGCCCGACCTCCAAAACTGGACTGACGGAAGGTCTGTACCTGAAGCTGGTACATATTCTGCAGTTTCTTCCATTCCTTGGTGCCCCAAGAAGACACCACCTCAGGGACATAGTGAGAGGGATCTGCTGGCTGCTCAAGTGCCAACTTCATCTTTGACTCCTCTCCCTTACCAACTGCCCTTCTGATCTCCTCCTGCACGATGTAGAGCATCAGCCCTCTCCACAGAAGCACATCGTCCTCCACAACTTTCTTCTGCTCTTCTGCCGTGTTGGTTGACTTCCCCCACGGCTCCTCCCAAGACCGAACTGGCCTTGGTCCTCCCCCTGGAACAGGAAGAGGGTAGTGCCGCAACACAGACCGTGTTCGGCAATTCGGGTCCATCACCAAGGCTTTCAGTCCACCATCCAGCGCAGCTCGCAAAAGCGATGGATATGGACCATCATGATCTCTCAGCATGTCATGTGATCTTCCATGTCGTTCTTCTGAATCTCTCTTGATGTCTATCTCCACAAGAAGGTTTGGATCGCCACCCACTTCTTTGAAGGCTCTGGCCAAGGAGTATCCTTCTGATTCTCCTGCATAAAGGTGAGCTACAAAACCTTCTTCTTTCATCTTTTTCCTTTTTCTTCTGTTGCAGCCCGGAATGGACGACAAATCTTCTGCCGGGCTGACCACCAACTTCTGCTGAATGTGCTGTGGGAGCTCCCTCAAGACTGGATGTGCCTTCACCAACTGTTGAAGCCACCTCTCCTCAGCACTCCTTTCCTCCTCTTGTATCTTCTTCATCCTCTTTCCTTCTTTCAACTCCTGAATCAGCTGAAGTGCCTTCTTCTTTGGGATCTGCGGACACCCGTTCCGCATGACGACCTTCAAAGCACCCTTCTTTAGATGTTCCACTTTCATAGACCCTTCTTTCCACGTGATGACATACCCAAGCTCTCCTGCTAGCATTGACATAGGAACAATGGGTTCCACGTTGCCGTCCTCGATGACCATGATTCCTTTCGGTGTCATCACCATATCCACTTGGTGACCATCCGCAAGGGTCACACGTACGTTTTCACACATTGACAAATCTTCGCCTGGTCGTGCAGCTCGCATTGGATGAGTTTCACCACTGTCCAAAAGTCCATAGACAGTTCCTTCTCTTTCCATCTTTGAAATCTTCAAAACCTTGACTTTTCGAAGCTCATCCAGTTGATCTTGCATGGCCGCAAGACGATCTTGCCTGCCCTTCTGCTCCTTCTCATTTGACTGCATAGTCAAACCTTTCAACATCTTCGTTGCCTCTTCCAAAAGCCCTTTCATCTCAGCTGAGGTAGAAGACGGCTCCTCAGATGGTGCTTCTGGCTGAGGAAGCTCCTCAGTCCTTGCTGCTCCTTCTTCTTTCTTCTCTTGTCTTTGAACCATTTTCTGGCTTCCCTTTCCTTCTGCTCCCTTTCCATACTTCTCTCCATTTTCCTTCGAAGCTTCTCGTGGCCTATCGCAAGCTGGCGCTAGGTGTGCGACTGATCCACAAATCCAGCATCGACGCTTCTCGTCGGTGACATGGGACCAGCTGCAACTCTTTCCTTTCTTGCATCCTCCATCCGAAAGAAAAAACTTGCATGGTGGAGTAGACGTCTTCTCGCCCTTCCCTCCTTTGCCCTCTGCACTTTTTCCTCCAGATCCATTCTCCTCAAATCTTTTGGCCTTTGCTTCTTGAGCATTCTTTGCATCTTCACGCTTCCGTCGATCTTGATGTGCAAACTGTTCAAATTCCGCAAGCAAATGATGTGCAAACGTCATCACTGACTCTTCGCATGGTGCTGTGTCGATCTGCAGCGACGACTTTGCCAGTTGAATGCGAAATGCAAGATCTGGGTTGTCTCTCAACACCCTCTTTGTCAAGCGGCCAAGACCTTTCACCAAAATTGTGGAGTCAGGTCGAACGACTCCTATTTCGCCAGCTCGTCGATGCCAACGAAGCCACCGACGAAGGCCTGTAACTGCCTGGGAAAGTCCAGCAGCTTCCTCTGGAGAGTCCAGAGCCGACAAAATGGCTCCTTTTTCGCTGAGGCCACCAGGCTGATAGCACGTCATCAGCCGAGCCAACACGTTGATGGCAGTCACCTCCTTCGAAGCAACCACTTCTTCCTGCTGAGACTGCGGTATGGCAGCCATGAGAAGAGCAGTGACTCTCTTCTCGAGTCTTTGGTACCTGGGATGTTGCAGGTCTTCTGGAACCTGCGGCTTATGCTTCACCTTCTCCAAGGGGGTCTTCTCTTGGTGCTGAATGTACCAACTTCGGGCGGATTGCAGCATCTGTTCCCACCATTGTTGAGAGGTGTCAGAAAGATCTCCCATAGCTGGCTCAATTGTCAAAAGCCAGTCAGTGAGATCCAAAGGCGCCGTCTCAGCCTTCCACTCTGAAAGACGGGGCAAATCTGGAATTGCACCCTTGACGATCTCCATGTCTTTTGACTTCTTTGCGTCCACAATCTGAGATTGCAGCACCTGCATGCCCTCCATGAGCTTCATCATGCCTTTCATCATCATTCTGATCTCTGGCTCTCCTGCGTCCTCCGCAGACTTTGAATTTCCGCATTGCCTTTGGGGGTCTTCAGCCTCCTTTGAATCTGGCGGCCTTTGGGCTTCATGAAAACTTTGGGGGTCTACAGCCTCCTTTGATGCTTCAAACCTTCGGGGGTCTGCAGCCTCCTTTAATGCTTCGGGCTTTCGGGGGCCTACAGCCTCCTTTGATGCTTCAAGCTTCCGGGGGTCTGCAGCCTCCTTTGGTGCTTCGGGCTTTCGGGGGTCTGCAGCCTCCTTTCGATCTTTCCTTGAACCCTCAGGAGTGCCATAGATGGAGCTCCTGTCGTTCCCAGACTTCAGCAAACGATTCTCTTCCTCCAAAACTTTGAGCCTTAGCAAAAGGTTCTGTCGCTCCTCTTCTTGGCGAAACCTGATTGCCTCAGACTCCAGACGCAAACGATCTCGCTCTTCCTGAAGAGCAAGCAGCCTTCTGTCTTCCATCTCCAACCAATTAGGTCTAGATGTTCCCAAATCTGTTCCATAAATCCATGGTGCCCTATTGTGAAGCTCCTCAAACTGTCTCAATTGCTGCTCACTGAAAAGTGGTGTGAACATGGGCTGTGACCTGGGCTGGGACCTAGTCAGTGCAGGTCGCAAATCTGCCCTGCCAGACCTGTCGGCCTGAGCGTCACCTTCATTCCCAGCTCCTCCATTTGGAACAGCTTGAGGCGTTTGCAGAACTTCTTGGCTTTCACTTCCCTTTCCTTTCCCACTGGCTCCACTTCGGACAGCTGGAGTGGCCGGAGCAACAGCAGGATTGGGGGATTTCTTAACTGAACCCTTTAGAGATTCTTCTACAACTTCTTTGGAAACATCCTCAACGGCGGGGACTTTCTGATCCTCTATCGCAGTCTCTTCTACTCTAGGGGACTCATTTTTTGGGCTTTGTGGTTCTTCAAAAATCTCCTGACCTTGATTGGCTGGATTCTGTTGATCTTCTATGGCTTCCTCAGTTCTTTCCCTAGAAAACCGATCTTGCGCTTCTCTCATTTGTCTCATCCCTTCATTCAACTCCTCTTGGGTTGCCCTTCTATGTCTAAGAAGATCCATTAGCGCCACCTTGGGCTCATAACCTGTCTCGTTGAGAGCAGGTCAGAGGCTGCTCTCTGGGGTTACACTTCTCGATTTGTGCCCCTCTTCAAATTCCGATCTCCTCACCAACACCGCCCGTTAACGCACCTCGTCTTTTTGATACGAAAAACGGCTGCATGCAAGCAGTCAAAGATCACAGCTGAAATTGCACATGGAGTGATGTGTTCCAAAATGATGAACAATTATATATGTATGTATATATCCAAATTTCTAAGCCAACTTTGCTATCTAGCGGATTCCTTCCTGTAGACGACCCGTTAGGTCATTGAAACCAAGCTCCTTCCGTCGATCAATTCATCGTCACATCGCTCCCAGGCATCTCCTCGACCTTAGGAAATGGGGATGCCGAGATTGTTGATGTGTGAGCAGCTCTTAGGGTGGTGCCTCATCCCACTTAGTGACTTAGTAGGTAGGCTATGTCCCGTAAAGTTCTTGGTTCCACTGCCAACTAGCGTTCAACATAGTTGAAGCCTCCTTACTAAGTGAGATGAACCACCACACACCATCAAAACACGTGGGGCGGACTTGGTGGTAATATATCAATGTGTACCCAGTGACCATTTGCGACGAGTATACGGGTGCCAACTCTCATCCATTGGTGAGAGATAGTGATAAACATGTGTACGTGTATATATATATATATGTACATACATTATATCTGTACATCAACCAACACATGGTGAACATGTTGATGCATGCCCTTAGCTGCAGGCGTTTGCGAGAAGAAATGGTGAATGTAGTGGGGTAATGCATGTGGATAATCTGGGACAGATTTTGCGCCACTATCGAAACTACAAAGTACACGGTATGCACAACCAACATAGAAAATATAAAGTAGACCTTACAAAAATTGAATGTGACTATAGCCACCACAAAATGCCGATGACGTTTCAAACCCAACAATAGGGCAGGGACTTCATGATAACGAGCTCACGTCACGTTTGAATTTGTTCTTTCAGGAGTTGGATGTTGCCTCAGGTCACTGTAGCCATACATCTGGGCAAAAAATGGACCGATTCGCCTGACCAACAATCGTCTACAATGAGGCCTTCCCGAGTTACTGGAATTGACGCGAGATACTCTTCCCCCCAAATACAAGTTTGCCTGGTCAAAGTTAAAACCATGTAAAATTCTCAGTTATATAGATCCATGTATATCCATGTGTACAAAATGTCAAAAAATATTGGGGATGTATATTTAAGAAAAAGGTCCATATAAATGACTATGAAGTGTTTATTTTCATAACCTTTCAACATGGGAACATATTGACTACTGTAATGTTAATAACTTCTTGGGTTTAGCAGATTCTCCCCATCATGTCTCCAAGGAGCTCAATTTCTCTGCTTTGGTCTCGCTGGGGCCTCAGCGAGGTAAGACCCGCATCGCCATCTGGCGTATGTATTATCTATCCATGTACAGTATCTATCTATAAATCTATCTGCCTACATGTCTATCAATGCATCTATCACCTTACCAATCTATTTCTATCTCTATCTCTATCTGTTTCGAAGATAAGATATTTTTTTTGTAAAGCCAAGAGCCGTGCTTATAAGCAATGTTTGATAGTTTTTGAATTCTAGTTTGATTTGTTTGTGTCTGATTTTTTTTTTGGTATGTCCAGCGCCTCCTGGCAGTGCCAGTCAGACAGAATGGCCGGCTGGAATAAACATAGGCTTACATGGATATAAATGTAAATATAGAAAATACAAAAACATATTTAAATAAATAGACCGTGACATGCCAGTTGCTGTCGCTGGGCGTTCCCGGCACTCGCAGTCCAGGCCCGCGAGATCCAAGGTCACCACGCTGCAGTCGAAGGGATCCTCCATGGCCTGGCGCTGATCCTTGGAGGATGGTTGTGGGGGTAAGATGTATAGCTGGTTTATGAACATATATATATATATATATATATATGTAAATACATATATATATATATATACACCTATGTATATGTCTATGTATATGTCTATGTGTACATAAATATATATATATATATGAGCAGGGACCCCCACACCCCCCCCCCAGCCAGATGGTTCCCCCCCCCTGTGGCAGGGGAGGGGGGGTTTTCTCAGCAGCCAAGCCGATTGTTGCTGGTGAGTATACATAGAAATCATGGTGTATGTAGTCTTTATAGTGCATATAGTGCATATGTATCGATAATTAGATTGGATATACTATATGTAATATAGAGTGTATGTGTGGTGTATATATATATATAAATAAAAATATTATATATAATATGTAAGATATAAATAGAATATATGCAATATTATATATATATATATTTATAATATATATATATATATCGTATATGTTGATTTTGATAGAATATAGATAGTATATGCCACATGTACTGTATCCACAGTAGATGTAATATATACAATATAGGTAAATATGTTCGTTGAATAAAATTTACATAGCATATGTGGTATATTGAATATCGACAGCAATACACGCTGTATATCTAGAGTTTATGTATATATATATGTAAATATAAATATATATGCATATATATATACATGTATATATATATATAGATATACGATTATATACGTGTACAGTATGTACAATGTAAACGAAATATGTGATAGATACAAGATCAAGATATCGATATATAGTATCTAGAATGTGCATATATATATATTGTTTTTCTACTGTACATATGTCTAGGTTTGCATAGGTAAGCTTTGCGTAATCCATAGGTAGCAAATATGTTGTAAAAAAGGTAAGCTTTGCGTAATCCATAGGTAAGCTTTGCACGCTATAGGCGGTTCGAAAAAAAGGTTATGATAGAAATATACAGGTAGACAAGGTCCGTTGACGAGGTCGTGGCTCTCAAGTGCTGCAAATAACGTAGAGATGCGAGGGTGGAGGGGTGGAAAGGGGAGTATATATGTGTATATGTGTATGTATATGTGCAAATAACATGCAAATACTAGGTTTTGGGGGGTGGGGGGGTTAGGAGTGGGGGGGGGATACCATTGGGGGGGGGTGTGGGGGTCCGGGGACCGGGCTCATATATATATATATATGCATATGCATATGTAAAAATATCTATGTGTGCATACGTATATATATATATATATTGGGTCAGTATGTAGTGTAACTTTGGCTGTATATATCATTGAAAACCACAAAAAAAACATTCGGGATTGACGTTGTTATTATCCAAAATAAGATGTCTGGAAACAACTATATATACATATGTTATCATAAAACAACAAACACAATATCTACATATATAAATATAAAAATGCGAATGTGTGCATATATGTAAATCTATGTGGATGTGTAAGTATGTAAGTATGTAAGTATGTATGTATCTCTAGATATCCGGTGTTGCCATCAATATACTATGATATAATGATTAACTGAACATAATTTGCATTCTGGGTGTGTTTAATGAGCTTGGGGTATTTACATGTATTTATAGCCTGAAAACGTCACATTTTGGACCAAGTCGCGGCTCCGCAACCCAATCTGGTCCAACCCTTTACAAATACCAATTCACTTCACCAGTGGAGCCAGCAAATATGGATGGATAATAGGATATTCATAGATATGTCAATCATATATCCACTAGGATTTGTGAAAGACTTGGGATAAGAACCATCAATTTGTGAATCTCTATGAAAAAAACCAAAACTATGAGTCTATGAGTCTATCAGCCACCCTAAGTCTATGGCTAAATGGAAGTTTCCTAGATCATGGGAATCATCAAGATTAGACTTTTTTGCGTATTGAAACCCATGGTTATGCGGATGCCCCATTTTCAGAACTCACCACATAATTATTCACAATATCTGATGGCGATATGGTTCATGGCTCAAATTTGATGGACTAACATCTCCTCTCGACAAATCGTAATGGTTTCAAAATCATACATGTTGGCCATGTTGGCGGGTTTTTGGGATAATTCCCAAACATAACCCCGGCAGGCTACAATTCACCAAGATCGATCCTATTCCTAGCTCATGGAAAATTCAACCTTTTTTTAAACCTTCTATTCATATGTAATGTCAACCCCGGATTAATAAACCATGGTTTATTAATTGGGGGGGTACGCCTCCAATAGTCATAATATGATACTTAAATGGTACCCTCCCAATTAAACAGCGTAGGGGTCTATTCATCCAGGGTTGACATTACCCTTCAACATGAGTTCCTCTGAGCATGGTGTACCCAAAAGAATCCACTGGTTGCAAAATGGTTTTGCAATCCAAATTTGCCAAAGCTGGGGGCATACATTATTTTCAGAGGCAACCACATTTCATATCACTGATTCATCCCGTCATATCCATTTATATACCCATAAAATATCTCCATAAGATGGTTAGTTTACATCCCTGTGTTGGATGGTAATGACTTATGACCAAAGAAAAATCACACCGTAAACTCACCATTTGAAAACAATTTTCCGAACGGGACACCATGGGGGTATTCCATTAAATCATTTTGAATCCCATTAAATATTTCATATAGATTCACCATGAAATCACCCTTCAATCCCTAATTTGCTAGTTTGCTAGAGAGTAACCATATCCAGCTTGCCCTATTGAAATGACCATATGATTTTCCCACTGCGGGCCTCGATTCGCGCAGTACTGTGGGCTGCTGCGCGGGTCCCCTATGGTCCCCTTCACCCGAGCGAAAATGGCGAATGGCCAAGGCAGGGCAGCAATCCAAGATGATTGTTGTAATGTCAACCCCGGATTAATAAACCCCTAGGCTGTTTAATTGGGGGGGTACCATTTAAGTATTGGATTATGACTATTGGAGGAGTACCCCCCTAATTAATAAACCATGGTATATTAATCCGGGGTTGACATAAAGCATCAAACTGGTTTGAAGATTAAATGAACTTGATGATTGAACTGAACACGGATTGAACTTAATGATATCTGGATGATTTGTGATGATTTAGTTAACAAATGATGAATAAAGCTGTAGACATGCGGCGTCGAAGAATCTATGTAATTCACATTCGGAAATTCACCAATGAATAATGGACAAGGGATTGTCCAAAAATGGACACACATATTTGGAGACTTCATGGGTTCCATCCTCAGCCGGTCCAGGCGGCCAGAAACACCCTGCGTCGGGCATCTTTTTACCCCATGAACATCCATGAGCCAATCATTAAGAATTTTGTTCATGTGATTTAATGGCTTTACCAGAAAGTTTTTCTCAGTACTGTGGATGAAGTGGATCAAGTTGGAGGTTTCCGCTCCAGTTTCTGTGCCCGCAAACAAGTAAGTCATCACGAGTCCGAATCCTCGAATTGGGGCAGGATCGATTGTCCACGGCCCTAAGGCTGGTAGTTTCAACCTCTCTTACTAAGCTGATAAACAATCCACTATCTGGATCTATCTGGTATTATCTGGTATTTAAACCCCACATTGAAACATGTTGAAACCTTAACCTTCTATGAGTTCATTCCCAACTTGTCGTTGAAGTGAAACCCCCTTGGTGAAACCACCATTTTCAGCTGCGCAGTTTCATCATGCAAGGACTGTTTCATGGAAATTCCCAGGTCATGGTTCATGGTGATCTCCAATGTATAAAGGGTGGGTGCATACAGGTTAAGATAGGTTAATAACCCTTAACTAATCATCAACCAACCATCATGTATCAATAATGTCCCAAGTTTTTGATGATTGAACCCCTAAAAATCACGTAGAATCCGCAGTGAACTACTCAACTATTGTTTTTGAAACTGCTCATGTTACGTTACAAGTTTGCCTGGTACCTGCACAGGTGCTCCCACCACCGCTCCCTGGCCGCCAGGCGTGCCCACCACCATTGCTCCCGGATGCGTGGGGGCAGGGCGCATGGCACGCTGCTCATTCAGAATCACAAACTTGCGGAAACCCGTGCACGCACTGACGCAAACCTGCGCTTGTTTGGTGTTGCTCCAATATGGAATCGCGAAAATTGTTGGTTTGTGACCCGGTGAGTATGACAATAGGATGTTCATCCCATCCACATTTGGTATGATAGGTTTTGATTCATCCCTAAATAATGAGCCGCCTTCAAAACCTGCAATGTCATTCCATGAAACTGGTTGGTTGGGAACGGGCTTCCCATTTTTTTTTTTGCTTCCCATTCCGGGCCTCTTCATAATCCCTAGAAAACCAGATGGTAAAACCCGCACAACATGGCGACCTTTGGGTTGCCGATGGTTGTCACCAGAGTCTTTTGGGGACCCAATACTCCAACAATATGATTCAATATGACCCAACTCATTTTTTGTTCAATAGGTTTAAAAAGAACATTCTACGGAGGTTTTCCTCATCATTCGTTTTCGTTCAGTGGAACTGATAAGAACATTGTGGTAATCATTCGTTTCGTGGTTGCTTCTACGGATAGCTAAGTGCCACTGACTTCCAGAATAAACAAAATGCTAAATGGGTGTCTGAAAATAGGGTCCCTCAAATTTATATAATGGTTTGAACATTGCTATAATTTGGGCTATACCCAATTTTCAGATAAACCTATCACTTTGTTGGTTACCGCTCCTATAAATATTACATAAACCAACAAAACATACCAAACTGGCTGCCAAATCATCACCCAGAGGCTAGGATGGCCCATCCAATGACCACCAGCCGCAAGCCCCGCAAGCTATCGAGTGTTAAGCCCTCAAAGATATTCAGCAGAAGGGTGGTTGCCAGGTCTCCGGCTACGGCAATGTGGAAGGGATAGTCCAAGAGTGCCACATTTTGACCTCAAAAACTGGTGATTTTCTGAGAAAATGGGCGACTAACCGAACCATTGAAAGACGGTGGGGGCTAACCATGGCCATGGCCATACGATTTATCTCACCTCGAAGTATGGTGATATACTCCTCAGTACCAACTTGAAGTTATAGTTCAATTGTCATGAATACTATGTAGTAAATACACCCTATCTCAAAGGCAAGAAATAATTGAAATAATTCACATTGTGATATACTAACGGAACTGACCATTTTCTGCCTATAAATATAGAGGTATTATATATTTTATCAAAACATGTAGTATTATCTGGCTCAAACAATGAGGTCATTTTGGGATGATTGCCTTTTCAACCAGAATGCGTTCATCTACGTCACAGTAAGGTCAGTGAGGTCGTGATAATTCACTCAAATGAGTTGATGTGGTATGTTTTACAACCATGTACCCTTTGGAAATGGTCCGTTAAAAATGATAAATTACTTGCAAAACATTAGGTTTTATGTTGCGTTCCAAAGCCATGTTGATTTACCAACGGGCAAAAACAACGCAGCATTTATTGATTACACGCTGGCAAGCAAAAAAAAATGCTAACCTCAAATATCAATCACCCATCATCAACAAAATGAAAAACAAATTCGGGACACCACCGGCAACTGTTGAACTCACATAATTTCCAATTTGTAGAAGTGTATGGTCAAAAGTGAACATGGTTGGTTAGCATTGCCGTTAATAACATGCAGAAACGCAAAATTATTCCCAGATGACGCTTGAGAGATCCAAAAATTATGTTCAATTATATCGATTTGTATCATCATGGTTGATCATTTGTTTCCCCTATTTTCTTTATACATGTCTAAAAACACGGCATCAATTTCCATAACATTCTATCAAGTTCAATATCCATACTCCAATGGTACATGCCCGAGAAGCTTGCTTTACCACTTATTTGAGGCTCCGGTTTTGGGGCCTTGGGCCCACCTAGGCTTTGAGAAAAGCGCCCCTAATGCCTTAGTAGAAAACCAACCAAGACATGAGGTATGAATCGCAATGGCTTGGACTACTAAGCATATATCGCAAAAAACTATTAAAGCACGAGTTGCGAATCACAATGGCATGGACGCAAAACGACTAAGGGCTCATGAAAAACTGCTGAAGCGCGAGCGGCAAATCACAAACAATGGCTCGGGCGCAAAACTACTAATTAAGAATGCCCCTCAAAATTGAAGAAAAGAAGGACATACTATTCCTTTTATTCTTTGGAGCATTTTCTTAGTAGTTTTGTGGCTGAGCCAATACGAATTGCGAAATTATCTTTAGTAGCTCTTGAACGCATTCTTAGTAGCTTTCCGGCCAAGCCAATACGAAAGGCGACACCGTGCTTAGTAGCTTGTGTGCACATTCTTAGTAATTTTGCGGCCAAACCAATACGAAAAGCTAATTTAACCCTGCTTCCGCGTGATGTATGTGGATATGCGCATGCAAACATGGCCCCGCTCCCCAGGAGTCAACGTTGCCACTCACAAAAGCCAGTCTTGCTGCCTTGTAGCTGCTTTGCAGAGTGCGGGAATATGTCAACTTTGATGTCTGGGGGTGCCGGGGGTTGCGCCCAGGGTCCTGTACACTGCTGCGGGCTGTACACATGTCTTTGCATTGCTTGTGACAGTCAAAGTTCAACCCCGCATGCTTGCTGCAGAACAGCACGGAAATCCCTGCACCTTTTGAAACGTTGTTCCTTTGGCTTGCGCTGCGACGCGGGCCCATTTTTGGGGCTTTGGGCCTGCGTGCTTTTTGCCTTCCTTCACTGCGTACCCTGCATGTGAAACCAGCATCCTGGCGAAACATGAATGAAAGATGCAACCTGTCGCAGCTCAATGCGCTCTTTACAGAAGGCAAAACGCATATACCATGGGCCCAAAATTTGGGCCACGAATTTGGAAGCTGGGCTACTAATTTTAATATTGTGGCCGCATTTTGGGGTCCAGAATCTGGCCCCTGTTTTGGGGCCACAAAACGCAAACGGGAGCTCTTCAATACGGGCAGCAAGTGTGCTACTGCCGCCGCAAGCTGACAGCAGCACATATCCGTGATACTCCAAGGGTACATGCCCGAGAAGCTTTCTTTACCACTACTTTGGGGCTCCGGTTTTAAGGCCACCTAGGACCTAGGCTTTGAGAAAAAGCGCCCCCAATGCCAATGCCTTGATAAAATTTAATAAAATACACACCAAGACATGAGGTATGAATCGAAATGGCTTTAAATTCCAAAGAAATCCCGTGCCTGGCAAGAGCGCTTGCCCCACCAAGTCACAACTGCATTCACCAGGTGGGCATGCTTGGGGGACGTCTGGCATCTTCTCTCGACAGCAGCACGGGGCGCAGCATCTGGAGGAGAGCATGATGATCCTGAGCGTGTAATGACTGGGTAACCATCAAAAATGGTGGGAAACTGTGATATTCTGTATACGCACACAGATAGATAGATAGATAGATAAGTAGATAGATAGATAGATAGATAGGTAGGTAGGTAGATAGATAGATAGACTGTAGGTAGATAGATATATAGATAAGATTAGGTTAGATTAGATTAGATTAGACTAGAATAGATTAGATAGATAGATAGATAGATAGACTGATAGGTAGATAGAAAGATAGATAGATAGATAGATAGCTAGCTAGATAGATAGATAGATAGATTAGGTAGGTAGGTAGGTAGGTAGGTAGATAGATAGATAGATAGATAGAGAGATAGGTAGATAGATAGATAGATAGATAGATATACAGATAGAAGGATAGAAAAATAAACAAACAGATAGATAGATAGATAGAAAGAAACATAGATAGATAGAGAAATCAATAGAAAAACAAATAGATAGATAGATAGATCGATAGATAGATCGATAGATAGATTAGGTAGGTAGGTAGGTAGGTAGGTAGGTAGATAGGTAGATAGATAGATTAGATAGAGAGATTGGTATATAGATAGATAGATAGATAGATAGATAAATAGATAGATAGATAGATAGATAAATAGATAGATAGCTAGCTAGCTAGATAGATAGACAGATAGATAAATAGATAGATAGATCGAGAGATAGATAGATAGATAGATAGATAGATGGATAGATAGATAGATAGATAGATATATAGATAGAAGGGTAGATAAATAAACAAACAGATAGATAGATAGAAAGAAACATAGATAGATAGAGAAATCAATAGAAAAACAAATAGATAGATAGATAGATACGTATACAATACAGTGGTATAATGGGGATATAATTGCTTAAAATTTAAAAAATCTGTACAATCCATATAATAGCGATTCAATCGTGATATGACAAAAATGATGGCATCAAGATATCGTGGGATAAATGACATATTGGGTACATAAAGTAGGGATATGTGATCGAAGGAAATTTAGAAGTCAAACTTCCGACAATACGGACAGATGGAAAAGCAGAGGTGGGAAGAGTCAGAGAAGAGAAAGAGAGAAGAAAGAAGATCAGAGAAAAAGAAGCAGTCAGAAGAAAAAAGATGCAGACGCGGGAAAAAGATAGAAAAGTCGCAAAAAACTGTGTTTTTCTCATGTTTTGTGGCTCCGGAGGGTCGAAAAGTAGGCTCCCTAAAGCGGCAGGTGCGGAGCCATCTGGTCAGCTGAGAAATGACAAATTGCACTTCATTGTGGCGCGAAGCAGCAGATTTGGAAGTCAAAAAGCTCAAGACACCTCACGTCCGCATTTTGGGAGTTCAAATGTTCACAAAGGGTACGTCGTTGTGGTGCGAAGCACATTTGGAAGTGAAAATGTTGAAAAGTGCACGCAACGACAACTACAACTACAGCGACAATTGCCACTACACTACACCCCAACTACAAGTACAACTACAACTGTAACTGCAACTACAACTTCAACCGCACTACAGCTACAACGACAACGACAACTACCACTACACTACAACTACAAGCACACGACACGACACCACACCACACTACATGCTGCAGTTGTGGGTGAGGTGACCACTGCAACCACTCCAAAAGCACAACTCCAACCACCTTCCGGTCCATCAGTGCATTCGCTCTGCCATCCATGCATCACAACAACTCACCTCTCCTATAGTTGTCTATCATTCAAACTTTCGCCACCGCCTTGTGCGGTACTAGTGGTATGATGGGCATAGAAACGTATTAAAAAATAATAGTGATATAGTGATATAATGGGGATAAAATGGCGATATAATATATAGGTTGGCTTGATCATCAAATATGGTGGTAAACCAACGGATATAACAATCAACCCTTGTGATTTAGTCATCCAAAATTGGAGAAAACATGGGAGAAGTATCCTCCGGTAAGAACGAACAGTTTGCAATCGCAAATGGTCCATTCATAGATGATTTACCTATTAAACACTTTTTCCATAACTATGTTAAATTACCAGAAAGTAACCACAACAAAATCGGAAACCTGATTTCCAAATTAGTCCTAACAAAGTCAGGAATTTCACTAACCAAAGATAGGTTGTTTCTCAGCCAAAATACGGAAACTCCAGCTAAAATGTGGGTCCAATCAGCAAACAGTTGGCTTTCACCAGTCAAAATCGGATTAGGCAGCACAAGGTGGATGGAACAAACAAACATGTGGAATTTAACGCATTTGCGAACATGTGGAATTTAATTCGCCGAAATTGGGATTAACCAGCAAAACTAGGTAATCAAGAAGCAAAAACACATGCAATTAGCCAACAACCAATATGATCACCACTGGCAGTTTGTCGATTTCTACTGTTGGCCCCTTACTATCTAACCTTCACTATCTTCTACAACCAAAAAATGGAACCACCTATAAATGGGCATTCAAATAGAAAAATAATCAACTGGGAAGCCATGCTTGAACACCAAAGATCATATAATCCCACGAAAAAGAAAAAAACTAACGGTGACCGCCAGAACCAACATCTCTATATAATCATATCTTTAATCACTAGGGTTTCCTGTCCACCTTCTGTCCACCTTCATTGCTCACTGCTAGCTGCTAGGTAAACCCATCTAATCCCAATATTGTTAGCGTCATATTCCATTCATACCATATTCATATCTCATGGGTATTCCATTTAACCACTACTGTCTCCCGATTACATCACTATTACCGCCCACTACACAACTATGTTTCGTCGTAAATTCACCTTTTCCCATGCTAAAAACATTATTTCCCATGATCAAATCATGGTAAAATAACAACACAATTTCCCACCGCAAAATCAAACTTTTCCCATGTCAAAATCACAATCTTCCATGGTCAAAACACCTTTTCCCATGGTCAAATCACAATTTCCCATGGTCAAAACATATGTTTTCCATGGCAAAAGCACCATTTTCCCATGGTAAAAACATAATCTTCCATGGTAAAATAAACATTTCCCATGATAAAAACATGTTTTGTTTTTTTTCGATGGTTAAACTCGCCCTTTCTTCGCAAAAAAAGCATCGCAGAAAACCGCCACTCTCTCTAAGCCTGGGATCCATGTCACCAGGACTAGCAAGCCGACAATCCCGATCAACCATTCCAGAGCCAAGAGATCTCCTGGCAAACGTCGGTCCGGGATTTCCACAAAAAAGGTGGGTTTGACGATGCAAAAATGGTGATTTAACCACAAAACATGTGGATTCAACCATCAAGAATGTTGCTTTCACCATGCAAAAATGGTTATTTCACCTAGAAACATGTTGACTCAACAATGCGAAAAAAATGTTGGTTTAACCATGCAAACATTATCATTTGTCACCATGAAACATTTGGATTCATATAACTATGCAGAAAATGCTGGTTTAACCGTTTAACATCGTTTAACCACGCAAAACATATGATTTCGCCGTGGGACATGTTGATTTAACCATGCAAACAAATGTGGGTTTAACATGGTTTAACCCTGCAACAGTGCTGATTTAACCAGCAGGAAATGTGATTTTGCAATGGAAACATGTGATATAACTTAACCCTCAAAAATGGTTGCGTATTGGGATGCCACAGGGACGCGGCATATAATGGCGATAGTCACCACAAGGTGATGAATGGTGATTCACTATCAGTTGATCAACCAACCATTTCATGGGATATGGAGTTGCCATCTGGCAATGTGATGCAGCTATATATTGTACACATGGCTGGTTTACTTCGATGTTTTGCCTATTAGGCATGGCAATTTTCCACAGCAAACTGTTAGTTATTACGAGAAGGTAACTGCAAAAATAATACCTGAAATGGTGGCAAACAAATTTACATATCGACATGCGTACGTACAATTACGAACATTGCATTTAAGTACACACTCACAATCTAATCATATCTAACCTACATATGTAGATGAAAAATCAATTGTGTGCGCATATAACCGCATATCTACCGTAATAATAATAATTATAATTATTATTATTGTTATAGTTATTATCATTATAATATATATATATATATCATAAGTAGCTCTACCTGGTATGTATGCATCTATAGGTCTGCCATGGGCATCCCTAAATCCCGCTGTTAATCATCATTTTACTGTATGTTTCGTATCTCAAATTGGCAATTTACAGGGCATCCTCCCCGTTCAAACACGCCCATATCAATCCCATCCCCCTAGAAAGTATCAAATGCCTGCAAAATAAAGCCTTCAACATAAATAGATCCAATGGTCCACCAGGGTTTTGGTTGGTGGCATTTACTTTTAACACTGGCAGGGGGTAACATGTTGTAACATGCTAATAATGCTAACCAGTATCTTGAGGATTCAAACACCCTCCCATTTTGGTGACCCCCCAGTAAATAGATGGTCAAGATTTGCCTTTAAGAACGTGCTTGCTGCTTGTTGGTGTTGAGGGTTCGCCCTAAAATTCTCCAAACCATTATTGGTTGGGAAGGTCACCAATATGGGGAAGTGATTCTATTAAAGAACCCGTGGTTGTTGGGTTTACAACCTTCAATTCTTGTTTGTAAAATCCACCATAGAAACCCTCTGATGATTTAGCATAACTCCCGAACATCACCATTCCATGGTTACGCAAATCATCTATAAATTGAGAATTATCCTCATGGAGCCTTAAATATGGCATTTAATGGGATTTATTCTGATTCGATGTGGTATTTATAAAGGTACAACGGTTGAATCCTCAACATTCCTCAACCTGGTCACCTCATGACATGTGAACATCACGATGGCACCGGCGCCTTCTTCAACGATAAACACGATGCCGGCCCCAAAGGACGCTAAAGCATAAATGATGGCCACTATAACGTATAGGAGCTGCACCTGCCAGTGACCCGTACGTTTGTCGCGTACGTTTGTCGGATACGTTTTAATGAGACCCGTACAATCTAAATAAAATAATTAAGTTACTTCAATTGCTATTGATTAATCCCAAAGAAATCATATACTACAGTAGCTCGGCAATGGGTTTGTTTGGATGGCAACAATAGGGACTGGGTTTGATTTTCAAGTGGTTCAAGTCAATCAGCTGTGCAGAAATGAACGTGTTTATATAACTACCCTCGGCAATGAGGGTGTGAAGTGATAAAAGTGAACATATGAACCGCGAACGATGGGATTTGACCTGCAAACATATGGATCTTAAGCGTAAACTTGGTGGTTGGATACTGCATGTACGTTTTAAACAATAATTATAATTTATAACACTAGTAATAATGATAACGAAAATAACGGTCATAGAAATAACAAACAAATCTTATCAGTATAATAAATAAATATATACACATTTGTACGTATAAAAAAATACGTGCTACATGTAGATAAAAAGTAAAAAGAAAGGTGTATTACAAATGATCCTTTTTTCAGCATCCGTTTTGAAACTTAAACATGGTGAACAAAACAAACATAATTGCCATGACCTGGTGAATCAGGCTAGGAACCACAATCAAACGCAAAACTCAATCTGCCTGGGGGTTTGAGGCAAACTCATTGCAGCAATCTCCTTGGCACATGGAGCTGAACTACAGCCTGCAAGACCCTCTGTTTTATCTACTCGTCTTGAGCCTGAAACTCACGCAAGCCACTCATGGAAATCAACAAAATTCTGCTCTCCGCCGTCGGGGCCCCTCCAAGCACATGTTTGCTGGTGTTTGCACTGAGCTTTCCATCACTTGCTTTCTCTTTTTTTTTTGACAATGTTACACAGTTTTCAAGCAAATTCCATGAACCATCTATTGGTTTGATGGAAGATCTACAGGAAACCATGGTTTTACCACCAAATATAGAGGATTCCTGCAGACTTTCCTTGAAAACCAATTCTGGGAGTCAGTGAAACAGTTACGTGTTTTCAAGTTGGATTTTTTAAAACCTCTTTTGCCCATCCATTCCACGGATTTGAAATGCAAAGATCCCAACTTGAAACGGCATGTGTGTACCTCATCTTGGCAATGCCATGTCGATTTAAGTTCCATTGGCTTTCAAATCTGCACACGTTGCCCCAAAAGCTGGGAACTTTTTTTGGGGGGGAACTTGAACGACCATCACCCTCAATGGTTAGAAATCATAGTTGGTAGTGCAAGTGCAAGTGTACCATTAAAGAAGAACCTCTTGGCGTGGTCATATAAATGCTCTCTGATACAGTAGTCTTAGTTGATAGTGGGCAATCCCTCTGTGCAGTGTGAGCATGTCAATATGTAAATGACCTGGCCCTCAAACATCCTCAAACATGAGGGTTTTGTATGGTTTTCATTCTCATGTTTGATGACCACAGGGTAGCTGTGTTAAGGATCCAGCTAGTGCATGCAAGGATGCAAAGCCTACGTGCAGAATGCCTGGTTATCCCAGCACAAGGCCCTATGTGGTACAGTGCCTCCATTTCAGCTACCATCCGGCAATCAAACATTGCATTTCGAAATCCTCTATCAATGGAGGTTTTAAAGGGAAAATCCCCTATTAATAATTGATTTCTGATTGACAAAAGCTGCGTATCTGCTAGCGTACGTTTGTCCGCTACCATCTTCGAAACCGATCTGGAACCCCGAAATTGGAGTCAATCAAATTATTTCCCTCTTGGGAACAGCATGTTTTAGATTTTAGGCTCCATCTTGGCATTCCATCATGCACAGCATGAGTATCATCATCATCATCATCAACATCATCATCAAGTCATCACATCATCACATCATCATCATCACCATCATCATCATCATCATCACACCATCACATCATCACATCATCACATCATCACACCATCACATCATTACATCATCACAACATTACATCATCACATCATCACATCATCACATCATCATCATCATCATCATCATCACATCATCACATCATCATCATCATCATCATGATCATCACCATCATCATCATCATCATCATCATCGCCATCATCACCATCATCACACCATCATCACACCATCATCATCATCATCAGCATCATCATCATCATCATCGCCATCATCACCATCATCATCATCACACCATCACACCATCACATCATCACATCATCACACCATCACATCATCACATCATCACATCATCACATCATCACATCATCATCATCATCATGATCATCACATCATCATCATCATGATCATCACCATCATCATCATCATCACCATCATCATCATCACCATCATCATCGTCATCATCACCATCATCATCACTATCACCTCATCATCACCATCATCACCATCATCACCATCATCACCATCATCATCATCATGATCATATCATCATCATCATCATCATCATCATCATCATCACTATTCGTATTTTTCTTAGATCATTGAGTATTGCTAGCATTTGCGTACCCATCGCACTTACGGCTTTGGCATTACCCCGAAGCGCCTATCCGCGCAGAACTACAAGCATCCCTGCTTGGTGCATACCAAGCAATGCTACTGAGTAGTTCCATCTGGACTTAATTAGAGCTGTTCCTGCCCTTTGAGGGCCTTGGACAAGTTGGACCTTGGAGGTCTAGCGTTCCATTCATCACATAATAATCACCATGAAACACACCATTCAATTATGGTTTCATGTTGATTCGCCATGTTTGGCCAACCCCCAACCGCACCCCAGTCGGCCCCTCCAGAAGCGGCCAGGTTGGCTCCTCCTTGGGCCTGTCCCACCTGGGTTGGCTGGTTGGTCAACATCAAAAAACTGCCAAACATGTATAAACATGGGCTTTACACCCAAACATGGGGAGTCAACCAGCAAAAAATCAAGGGACAACGGAATTACAACAAATCAGAGTGTGGATTTAGTCAATTTTGTGGTGATTTTCTGGGATGGCCAGTGATTTTGCCAGCAGCATGGGGGCCAAGCATGAACAGGTTCAAGACCATATAAACCCATTTATTTTTTGTTCTGGTCAATCAGGAAGTTGTTCATCTACCCAATTAAGGTTGACACCGGCTTGCATGGGGCTCTGATTGATTGGCCAATTTTTGGCACAATGTGGTGCCTTTTTTTTTCCGGCTCAATTTTGGTGAGGCAGTTTGACACCCCAAAAAAGCTTATGGGACATCCCCTCACCCATGCTGGGCAATTCCAGCACCTGAACAAACATCAATCAGAATCCTGGTGAAAATTATGATCATCACAATTCATGTATTATTCCAAGCTTGGTGTATTACAGTAGTTGGATCCACCATCAATACACCACTGGCAGTTGGTGACTTACAAACACCAATCATCATCATTCATTCAAGTCAGATTGATCTGACTCCTCCAAGTTGTTTGACAACTGAAAGTTCCCAAAGGCGATATCAGCACATAGCTCTGTATAATATGTACATATACATAACTACATATGTACATACCTAACACTCTACCCAAGTCAGACTTTGCTGGTCTTTGCGTCTTTTTTTCCCCGAGAGCGTCTGAGCGCAGGGTTCTTCCAATAGTGGGGGTCTGTATCTCATCTTCTCATCTTCACACCTTCTCATCTTCACACCTTCTCATCTTCACACCTTCTCTCACACCTTCTCATTTTCACATCTGCTCATCTTCACATCTTCTCTCACATCTTCTCTCACATCTCCTCTCACATCTTCTCTCACATCTGCGCATCTTCACATCTGCTCATCTTCACATCTCCTCTCACATCTTCTCTCACATCTGCTCATCTTCACATCTGCTCATCTTCACATCTGCTCCTCTCTTCACATCTGCTCATCTTCACATCTTCTCTCATATCTTCTCTCACATCTGCTCACCTTCACATCTGCTGTTCTTCACATCTTCTCTCACATCTGCTCATCTTCACATCTTCTCTCACATCTTCTCTCACATCTGCTCATCTTCAAATCTTCTCTCACATCTGCTCATCTTCACATCTTCTCTCACATCTTCTCTCACATCTTCTCTCACATCTTCTCTCACATCTGCTCATCTTCACATCTTCTCTCACATCTTCTCTCACATCTGCTCATCTTCACATCTGCTCATCTTCACATCTTCTCTCACATCTGCCCATCTTCACATCTGCTCCTCTTCACATCTGCTCATCTTCACACCTTCTCTCACATCTTCTCACCTTCACATCTTCTCTCCTTTCTCTTTCCTTTTTCTCTCTCTCGCCTTCTTTATCTTTCTCTCTTTAGGCCGAGGGTGGTGCCGGCGGAGAGTCACGAAACGTCAACCCTTTCGCACGAAATGAAGGTCGATCGTCAAAAACTGAGGAAAAATTGCGAGTTTACTTGTCCTGGAGCAACCCTTTCGCACGAAATGAAGGTCGATCGCCAAAAACTGCGGAAAAATTGCGAGTTTACTTGTGCCGGAGCAACCCTTTCGCACGAAAAGAAGGTCGATCGTCAAAAACTGAGGAAAAATTGCGAGTTTACTTGTCCCGGAGCAACCCTTTCGCACGAAATGAAGGTCGATCGTCAAAAACTGAAGAAAAATTGCGAGTTTACTTGTCCCGGAGCAACCCTTTCGCACGAAATGAAGGTCGATCGGCAAAAACTGAGGTAAAAGTGCGATTTTACTTGTGCCGGAGCAACCCTTTCGCACGAAATGAGGGTCGATCGGCAAAAACTGAGGTAAAATTGCGATTTTACTTGTGCTACGGCAACCCTTTCGCACGAAATGAGGGTCGAGAGGGAATCGGCAAAAACTGAGGTAAAAGTGCGATTTTACTTGTGCCGGAGCAACCCTTTCGCACGAAATGAGGGTCGATCGGCAAAAACTGAGGTAAAATTGCGATTTTACTTGTGCTACGGCAACCCTTTCGCACGAAATGAGGGTCGATCGGCAAAGTGTAAAAGCGTCTGTGTGTAAAAGCATCTGTGTGTAAAAGCGTCTCTGTGTGTAAAAGTGGCTGTGTGTAAAAGCGTCTGGAGCAACCCTTTCGCACGAAATGAGGGTCGATCGGCAAAGTGTAAAAGCGTCTGTGTGTAAAAGCGTCTGTGTGTAAAAGCGTCTGTGTGTAAAAGCTTCTGTGTGTAAAAGCGTCTGTGTTTAAAGGAGTCTGTGTGTAAAAGCTTCTGTGTGTAAAAGCGTCTGTGTGTAAAAGCGTCTGTGTGTAAAAAGTCTGTGTGTAAAAGTCTGTGTGTAAAAAGGGCAAGTCAAAAAATCGTCTGTGTGTAAAAGCTGTCTGTGTAATGTGTGTAAAAGCATCTGTGTGTAAAAGCCTCTGTGTGTAAAAGCGTCTGTGTGTAAAAGCGCCTGTGTGTAAAAGCTTCTGTGTGTAAAAGCCTCTGTATGTGAAAGTGTTGTGTGTAAAAGGGTCTGTGTGTAAAAGTGTCTGTGTGTAAAAGCGTCTGTGTGTAAAAGCGTCTGTGTGTAAAAGCGTCTGTGTGTAAAAGGCTCTGTGTGTAAAAGCGTCTGTGTGTAAAAGCGTCTGTGTGTAAAAGTCTCTGCGGGTAAAAGCCTCTGTGTGTAAAAGTCTCTGTGTGTGAAAGAGCCTGTGTGTAAAAAGCGTCTGTGTGTAAAAGCGTCTGTGTGTAAAAAGCGTCTGTGTGTAAAAGCGTCTGTGTGTAAAAGCGTCTGTGTGTAAAAG